TTTGTTCCATATCCAGACATTTCCTGCATTTGCATATAGTTTACAGTTTACACAAAGCCTTGAAAAACAGAATGCTCAGATAGTCGTCTTCAATGCTAAATAGTGTTTTTCTTGCTAATCTTTTTCCATATTCTGGAGTAGTTGTGAAATTAATTCACAACGTTTCATATTTTAGAAGCACCACAGTTGATGCTGAAAACAAAGTATTTGGCAATTTGACTATATCTTACCCGAACAAACGAATAGTTGCCAATACGGATTATTCTCCCGTCACGAATAACCATGGAATTAGCAAAAGTGAGAGAGGAATCGCTGGTGTATATCGTCCCATTCGTCACCAACAGGTCAGCATCAGCAATTCCTGAAGAGAAGGATGATTTCGATGATAACCACCATAATCGGTTGCTCCAGCTGGATTCATCTGCAAGAATTTGAATTGTTGATGAAATGAATTGAGGTGGATATAAGTGATTAAATTGAAGATTGGAAGGAAGGATGTTTGGTTAACTGTGATTATTGTGGAGATGAAGTGACAGTAGGAGGGAGAGAAGAAGAACGAGTGAAGTTGAGACGAGGACACGAGTATTCATGGCGAGAGAATCTTTTTAGTCGATGATTGTGGTGGAATCTTGTCGTGCCATTCTGCCAAGGTTTGAAAGATTCAGAGAAATATCGGTTCCAATCGGGTACCTTTTAGGATAATGACTTAAAAGGGTAATTTATTTCGGATTTGTACAAATTTAGTAATTGAGTTTTTTTTGTCCATATTTTCCTATTGAACTTGTTGAACTGTTCAAAAAACATCCTTATGACCTACTATCAGAGGTATAGCCGGTTTCCGGCGTCTTTGACAACTCCGGCGATCATCTTCTCAGGCGAAACATTATTTTTCCGGCGACAAGTAAAAACCCATTTTTTTTCCTGAAATCACACACATGATATTCTGGATTCGTGTTTATCTAATACATATACAGATTTGTAAAACAAGTCCATCCATGACAGATCTAGCAAAACACAAAATCAATGTAATGATTTTTAATTTCTGAAAACAGGGGTTGCAATTTCTGATCTAACACACACACACACAAACTTGAATCTGAAGAAGCTCTCAAGAACACAATGAACAAACCTTAATGAACCAGACAAAGATTTGAAGAACATCATGAACAAACTCACCAGAATAAGCCTAGATTTCGAGTTTATATATGAAGAATCCACCTGAAAGTCGAATTCTTTCCAGATTATGCTCACAAACTCAGCCCTTCAGGTAAGTTATTTTTCAGAAATCGATTTTTTTTAAAAAAAAAAAAACCCACCTGAAACCCTAGATTTCGAGTTCACTTTCAGATGTGGAAATCGATTTAGTAGTTTTTAAATTCTAACATAGATGAAAATGAATACACATACACATACCTTCGATCTGTTTAAACACGAACTCAAGGGTTTTCATGACGGGTTTTGAGCACATATCTTGAAAATCGATTTCTGGGTTTGAGTGTGTTCAAGAACTCGTCATACCTTCAAGCTCGATTTGAGTGTGTTCATCTTCAAGGAACTCAAAACACACCAAATCGATTTCTTCTTTGTTCTTGGAAATCGATTTCTGGGTTAAAAACCCCAACTCGACTTAAGGTTGTTCTTGAGTTCGATTTTTGGTCTTTGTGTTTCTGGAAAACACACACAGAACAATAAGTATGGTTTTATGTTTGTGTTGAAGATCGTGTGTATGTTCATCTGACCTAGTGTTCTTGAGTTTGAAGAAACAACTAATATGGGGTTCTTGTGTTCATCTGATCTGGAGTTTTTGTGTTTATCTAATTCAAAATGATATTTGAAGAAATAACTTACAAAAAAAGATGCAGATGAAGAATGACTTAAAGGGAGAAAATGAGTTTTCACTTGTAGCCGGAAAAATAATATTTCGCCGGAGAAGATGAACGGAGCATCTCCGGAGTTGTCAGATATGTCGGAAACCGGCTATACCTCCTATAGCAGGTCATAAGGGTATTTTTTTAAACGGTTCAAAAAATTCAATGGGAAAATATGAACAAAAAAAAACTCAGTGACTAAATTTGTACAAATCAAGAAATAAGTTACCCTTTTAAGTCATTATCCCCTTACTTTATATTAAAACTTAGACTAAACTGCACATGGTTTCTCTGGTTTGCTCAAAATTGTCACTTTGGTCCAAAAATGTTTGGACTAGCATCAGAGATCTAAAGTTTTCATTTTGTTGTTTGTTTGGTCCAATCTGTTCTGTTTTTTTTCAAAATGACGGATTTTTCCCTGTTTATATGATTTTCTCTTTTTTCTTATTTGTTTTTCTGGTTTTTAGATTTAAAAAAAATAAAAAATAAAAATAAATCTCTCTCTCTTAAAATAATAAAAAATAAAAATCTCTCTCTCTCTCTCTCTCTCTCTCTTCATTTGTTCTTCATGGTTCTCAAGAACCCCTCATCGTCGAATCCACCACCGTCCATCTTCAGCCACCCCCCATCCTCACTCCCTTCATAATCCGAACATGGACCCAACACCGTTTTACCACCCTCACCATTCATCACCTTCACCAACCTTCAACCTCAACTGAACCTTTCATCATCTATCACCACCCTCATTTATCCATCACAGCCTACACTACCCACCATCCTCACTCCCTTTCATCATCCATCAACACAAAATGATCGCCAAACCACCAGCAACACCAAATTTGCCAAAAAATAAGAAAAAGAAATTAACCAGCGGATATGTTCGTCACCTGATCTGTTCGTCACCCTCTTTCTCTTTTTTCTCGTCGGATTTGGAAACACGAAGGTAAGGGCGTCGTTCAACACATACCAGCGCTAGGGTTTCCTGATGAAGATGACGGAGCTAGGGTTTCCTGATGAAGATGACGGAGCTAGGGTTTTCGGTGGATGATAGCGGCGCTGAAATAAGAATAGCCGCTTAGAGTTTTCTGAAAACCCTAACTCGTCGCCGCCCTTCGTCTTATCTGGAACGTCGTCGCCAAATCGCTAGGGTTTGCTGATGAAGAAAGCAGAGAAACATGGAGATAGACGAGGTTCGCCGGAAGAATGATAATTTACAGATCTAGAGCTTCGTTGAGTTGCAACGGAGTTTTTCAGATCGGCGGAAAAACGAAGGTTTATAGATATAGGGCGTGTTCGGCGCGGAGCTTTTAGGAGCGTTTGAGAGCTTCTAGCTTCTAGCGTTTGACAAAACGCTCCGTTTTGAACAGAAAGTCTTGTTTGACACTACAAGCTTCTAGCGTTTAGTTTAAACAAAACGCTCCAAATCTAAAAGCTACTTCATGTAGCGTTTAACAAAACGTTACAAGTTACCCGCTAGTTTTGCCGAACACGCCCATAGACGACGGCGACGAGATCAGAGAAAGGGTTTACAGATGGATGGCGACGGCAAGATGGTAGTCCATGGCAGGTGGTGGCTGAGGGCGACGACGGTGGTGGAGTCGACAATGAGGGGTTCTTAAGAACCTTGAAGAACAAATGAAGAATGAAGGAGAAATAGGGGGGG